AAGGAGGATATTCAAGTGGCCAACAAACAGATGAAGAAATGCTCACGATCATTAGCTATTAGAGAGATGCAAATCAAAACAACAATGAGATACCACCTTGCTCCAGCACTAGTAGCAAAGTTCAACAAGACAGAAAATAACAAATGCTGGCGAGGTTGTGGGGAGATTGGGACTCTCATACACTACTGGTGGGACTGTCAAATGGTACAACCATTGTGGAAAGCCATATTGGCAACTCCTTAAAAAGTTAGAACTAGAAATACCATTTGACCCAGCCATTCCATTACTAGGTATATATCCTAAAGAAATGAGAGCCATGAGAACAGACATATGCACACCCATGTTCATCGCAGCACTATTTATAATAGCCAAAAGAGGGAAACAACCTAGGTGTCCTTCAACTGAGGAATGGATAAGCAAACTATGGTACATACATACGATTGAGTACTATGCAACCCTAAAAAATAATGGAGAATCTGCACAAGACCGCATAACGTGGATGAACTTGGAGAACATTATGCTGAGTGAAATAAGTCAATCACAAAAGGACAAATATTGTATTAGTCTGTTATTGTAAGAGTCAAGGAAACGTTTATCTATGGAAGGACATTTTCTTTGTTGGTTACCAGGGGTGGGCGGGGAGGGTATGGAACACTGTTATATAGATAGAGATAAGTATTGATTTGGGTGAAGAGAAGTGCATTGTACCAAATGTGAGTGATCAGTATAGTGGCATTGAGCAAGAGAAAGACATAGAGAGGTACATGCGAGGTACAGACAACAAGGATGAACCCTTTTGCACATACACTATGGCATTGTCAGTGAAGGCAAACATAGGTATACGGGTGGATAGATGGGTGGACAGGCTGAACTATTAGGTATGTCTGTGAAGTGGGCAGTGTACCCAAGAACATGTTTAGGGTTGGCAGACAGTGTTCCTATAAGTTTATGTGTATGATCTGAATTCCCAGGTGTATAGTAGAGCTGACAAGGGGCAAGGTTGTAGTCACTGCTTGGTCATAGCCAGCTACCAAGAAGGACCGAGTAGTTGAATCTCTGGGCTCAGCACCATAGTTGCAGGGGACATCAAGCTCAGTTGGCATAACATACTACACAAAACATTGTTCCACCTCCTACTTTGGAGAGTAGTGACTGGGATCTTAAAAGCTTGCAAGCAGCCATCTACATGCAACCATGGGTCTCTCCTCATCCAGAGCAAAGAAGAATGAAGAAAATAAAAAATTTGTGGCAACAATTAATCCTAGGGACTAGTACAACATCCGATCTGCAGCCTATACGACTATGAGACCAGAAGAACTAGATGGTGCCCAGCTACTACTGTTAACCGC